AAAAAAATAGCCTTTGTCAAAATCTGATTTCTACACACATTCTTTGAAATCATTATCAATAAATCAACTCAGAGGAACTAAGATAACCCAGTACTATGCACTTTTTAAACCTTTCGTACGAAAAATATTTATTATACAGAACAAAATTCACATTCTTAATTACGATGTTAATAAAAAAAAAACCAGACAAACAGTACTAATTAAAAATTATGATATGAAAAACAACGAAAATATATTAATAATAATTTTAGGTTAAGTTTTTTTTTTTAAACTATACACATACACCAGACATGATTTATACAGTAGTTTAACATTAACTTAATGAAATAATATTAACACATTTCAACAGTTTTTGGTTAATAAATTACGTTGTTACCCTAAGATATCATACATCAAGATTAGAGAAAAAAAACCTTATATGAATATACATTATGTTAATTTAGAGTTAGTCAAATTTTCAACAACGATTTGCTGCTAATGTACAAATATCGACAAATTCTTACGMACCCTATTCCTCAGGCTATTGTTTCATAACCAATAAAATTATTTATGAAAGGGTGAAACAACAGTTCTAGTCTGGAACTCTAGGTCAATATAATATATTATATAATAATAATAATATATCCGTATAAATATAATGGTTTATACACATATATARAAAAATCGCACACAAGCCTATTTGTCGTATAATGTATACATTTAGACAGTAAAATAATAGTAAATATTGCATAAAATTTACAAAGCCCTTTAAATAAAACGGTTTTAACCGCCTCGTGCATGCTTAAACGCACATATATTTTTTTTCCATAATAACTACACAATGTTTACATTATTATTATACACAATTCCTACATTCTTGACGCATAATAATTACCAATAACTTTATTCGAATACTACTAAGATTTAAAAAATAATAATTATTTTTAAAAGAATTAATTTTATCAGGAACCTAATAAACAGTTATAATTAAAATAATGTTATAAATTATTATTTTATTTTTATGTTCTCTTTTACTAATTCTTAAGTGAAATTACTAGGAAAATTTAACTTTCAATATATAAAAATATACCTAATCTGTGTTGAATTTGTTCATAATAAATAGTAATTATAATTAATAATTATTGATAAGCCCCTAATCATGTGCGACATGAGTACTTTCTCAAAATTAATCAAACAAAATAAATATAAAAATATATTTAAAAAAGAAAACTTATCTATAAATGATTACAATTAAGTATAAATTAGTGTGGTAGTTTACATTTTTCTTATTGTGTATTATTATAATTATTAGTTGTGGCATAATTTTGTACATAAAAAACCTTTGACGARTCACCGGCAAGAACAGATAGGAATATAGTGTTTTTGTATAAAACCGACCAGGTAATATAGTTTCATGAAAATCCACAGCTAAAAAAACTGGGATTACAAAAAAATTGAAATAATAATTAAATTTATACATAAATTGACAGTATTCATCCTTTTTCATAAGTCAATGCCTATATTATTTTAAGACTAGGCACAAACATTTTATAAGAATGACATCATCACTTTGGGATCAGTGTTGGTTATAATTCATATAATGTTATATTTCAAATGAAATACATTTATAATTTATTTATTTGAAATCTTGGTATTTATATGAACTGAATAACTAGTAGATATTTGAAGTACAAACTAGTAAATATGCCATGTCTAAATATARTAATGGTCAAGCCATAATAAAATATGCAAGTGCCATACAATATATGTATCTACAAATATTTTAATGATACAAAATTTAACTTTGAATTTCATTAAATTAATTTGTTGGACCAAATATCATTAAATAATGATGATGTCACAAATATCTATGTTTGATAAAGATGTTTAATAGTAAACCTAATTTATATAACCTAATAAAACAAGACTATTAACACTTTTTAACTCTTTAGAAATACCTACTTATTAAACATAAAAGAAATAGGTTTAGGCTCGTGTGTTTTGTGGTGGACCCAACATCATGGGTGTTAGGTGGGTTAATGGTGGTGGACCATCTGCATTATGCGGTGGAGGCCCTAAGAAACGAGGGCCATTCTTGGTGGTTGGCAATATGCTGATTTCACGAGGATCAAATCTAAAAAATGTTTTAAATTATCAGACAATATTTATAATTCAACGTAAGAAATAGGCTTATCTCTCCTCATTTCTTATAAAAACCAATTATTTATAGCTAAAACAGGTATTAAAACTTTTAATGTACCCTAATAATATTTATTATAATTTGTTATATAATATTTATTATAACTTGTTATATAATATTTATTATAACTTGTTATATAATATATATATATATAACTGTATTTCAAAGATTTTAATACACAATACATAGCTGTTTAAGTTTAAATTCATCTCAGTGTGATGTTGACAATAATGAGTCCAAATTGATTATTTTTTACAGTATTTATATAACTTCATGGAACTTCATCAACATATTAATCTTAAATCAGTGAATTTATAATCCTTCAGTGGCATCTTTTTACACAATTTTGTCAACTTAACTTATGAATTTATAAGAATGTAAATGTTCCAAAAAACAAAACACTTTTATACCATTTAAATATTGACATTTTTTATTTCTAGCAGAATAAAATTAAAAATTAAAATTAAGTCTTAACATCTTATTGAAAAAATTTATTTAATTTTAAATTTACTTATTGATTGTTTTTTATATTTTATATTTAGTTTTAGTAAACAATTTTTACAGCTCAACAATTACATTACAGTGCAATTTTATGAAGACTATCAGAATATTAAATATTATTTTTAATTTAATAWAGTTATAAAAATCTTTTACCAAATTTTTCTTCTTATTTAGGTTTATCTATAAAATGATAAGCTTTTCTTAATTTTTGTTTTAATAATTTTGTATAATTATTAAGTAATAAATCATAAATAATACCTAATGCTAGAATAGTTGGTGTCTGATTGCATGTAGGAACTGTGTACTGGCTCGTGGTCAGTAGCTGCTGCTGCTGCAGCAACATTGAATCGGTGGACTTTATTGATGTGTCTGACTAAAAAGCATCCTTTCACAAAGGCTTTACCACAAAATTGACAACAATGTGCTGGTCCCAAGTCATGAGATCTAAGGTGCGTTACAAATTGGATCTTAGAGTTAAATGATAGCTGACATTGTTCACATACAAACGGTTTTTCTGTCATATGACTCCATCTAGTTATATAATATAAAAATTAGACATTTTTTTACATCAAGAAATTACAATAAAAAATCATACTTATGAGAAATGACATAGCTTTTAACTGCAAATGTTTTCTTGCAGATGTCACACGAATAAKGACGCTCGCCAGTGTGCACTCTTTTATGAATGTTTAGGCTACTCTTTTGAGAAAACTTCTTTAGACACAAATTACATTGATAAGGCCGCTCACCAGTATGAGTTCTCATATGAACCTAAAAATAAAAATAGTCAGTAATATAACTATATGGAGTTAAGATAAGTAAACATAAATCATAACAAAATTAATACTTAAATTATTATGGTAATATGCACTTATACACACCAATATTTWATTAAGTTTCTAAAATATGTCATCAAATAGGTGTATTAGTTATATAAGAATTTAATACATTTTAAGTWATACTCTAAAATACCTACATTAATATAATAAACTATTATAAAAAATAGTGGCATTTAAGCATAATATGATCATTCTCAATTTCGGTATTGTGCAATTTATAATTTGTTCTTTATATTGCTGTGATTAAAAAGTTATTGGTAAAATAAGATAATTAAAAAAAATCATGGTAAATAGCACACTCTCAACTCAAAATACTTAAGAGGATTAAAATATAATTATGGTTTGAACTTTAAACTTGTTGTTTATTATACTTCTACATAAAAATGTACATTCTACATATTGCAACATCTCATAATCATGTGTTATATAAAAATGTTATAATTAAATTAATTTTAATATCTAACACTGGTACTTTTTTTAAATCAAATACTTAAAAAACTATTACTATAACATATCTAAAAAAATTGTTCAAAAATATTAACTAATTAAGATTAATTCAATAAAGCAGATGTGAGGCCAGCTATCTTGTATGGATTAGAATGTTGGACAGTAGGCAATAAAATAGAACAGKTGAGTGTAGTAGAAATAAGAATGTTTAGAGGGATATGTGGAGTGACTAGGAGAGACAGAATAAGAAATTAATTTTTAGAGATAATTTAGGAATAGCACCAATTTATACAAAATGTAGAAGACCAGGCTGAGATGGTTTGGTTATGTTATGAGAAGAAGTAACACGGAGGCAAGAGAGTTGAAATATGAAAATTAATGTAAAATGAAATAGAGGAAGAGAAATACCAAGAAAAAGTTGGACAGACGAAAATACATAATGACACTTTAGCTAGTATAAATAAAAATATGGGGGAGGAAGTCCAATAGAGGAGTAAAACAAGGGTAGACATTGTCCAGCCCCATTTAGTTGTGATGAAATGAAAGAAGAGAAGAACAAGAAGAAAATTAACTGTTAAATCAAATGGTAAAAATCAATCAAATATGTCTTTGAAAAAAGGTATTATAATGCACTTACTTCCAAATATGGTTTACGGCAAAAACAGGCTTCACATTGTGTACAACGATAAGGTTTGTTGTTTGAATGTGATTTTAGATGTACATAATATGATGAAGTTGATGCTAGTACACGTCCACATATGCGACAAGCTTGAGGTTTAGATCGAGATACCGATGTGGACGAAGGTACAGGAGTACTGGAACTGTGTTGCTCATCGCCGTTGACTACAATGGACAAAGGTGGACTGCCGCAACTGCTGTTTTGATCGCTGATCACATTGTCAGCAACTAGGCAAGGCCTTATCTGAAATCAGGAAAGACGCAGGACCGTTAAAACCTTTCTGTTATGACATTCTACGGGCGAGTATGCAGGTTCTACGTTCGCTCAGAGGTACTTGCACCCACCTCAGAGTCAACTTTGATGTTCTGCTTGTGCAATCCAAGCTGTTGCATATACTTGACAGCGGCATCATGTTTACCCAGGTACTGTGGCTGTTGCTGCTGCAGCTCGTATTCGGTGGCCGAGAAGTGCTGTTGCGTTTGCTGCATAATATCGTGTGTGGTGTGCGCGTCGTCTGACTAGCTCATTGACATGGTTGATCAACGCACTACAATGGGGGCAGAAAAAAACGAAAACCGATGATCGCACAAATCGTTTGCATACTGTAGATCATTATTTTTATTTAAATATTGTTAATGTTATTGTTCGTCATCATCATCATGATATAAATAAAAGCGGACGCCAATAAAAATAGATCGAATATGCACCGCCCGGGATCTATGTGAAAACGTCGTATCAGCGATACGGTCGCGGCGTTCGAAAGTCGACGGCCGTCGTCGATCCACCGCCATCGACATCATCGACGACAAGCGATAAAAACAATACGAAAACGAGCGGCACTCACCTGCTATGGTTGTCGTATACACTGTTTGTATGCGTTAACGGCACAGAGTCGTTTCGGTGGAAGCCCGTTAGTTAGATTGTAGGAATTAATCGACAACGCGCATTCTCTAAACGATTGTTATTATTATTATTATTATTATTATTATTATTATAACAATATTAATGTTAAATAGTATTTAATTGTAATATCGTATATTATTATAGTAATTATTATTTGTAACGACCAACAACAATAATAATAATAAGAGTAATAATAATAGTAATAATAGTAATAATAATAATAATAATATTAAATCAAAATAACACGCGTAACAGACTTAATCGCGGTCTGCCGTCATAAAAAAATATTTATACCGTGATATACACGCATATACATATCATACATATGTAATAATAATATAATATAATATGTATATATACGCACGCATATGTGTATATATATTGCACTCGGAACGTTAACGTGATACGGGGTGTACAGGTATAAACATTATCGTAATAATATATGTTATAAACGTGAATATATGTGTACGGTGTGTACGTATAGGTAACTGAAGAAGAAAGGAATGCGGCGGCGGCGGCTGCGGTGGCGGCGGTGGCGGCGGCGGTATGGTACCTATGTAGTTTCCGATGGTTTCCGAACGGGGAAAACGAGAAGAAAAAAAAGTATATAATGTATAAATGTAGAAAGAGAAAGAGAGGAGAGAGAAAAAAAGAAGCCAATCGGCGGCGCTGTCGGAGGTGCGAGCCCGGGTCCTCACAGATAGCGTCTCTGAAAAGCGTCTGTCGAATGGCGGAGTGGGAGGGCCGGGAGGGGAGGGACGCCGTTCGTCGTTGTATTTACGAGACGTCGAGACGTTTTCACCGATCGGCGATCGCCGTTGTCTTTCCCGACCATGTTTTAAAATCTGATTGCCGGTGGCGGGCCTCCACAATAACATTATATTAATGAAATTACATAATTGAATATTAATTATAACARAAACTAGAAAATAATTCTAATTAAATATTTTAACGTGATCGGCACCGGTCAATTATTATTTATATATTTTTGTCGATTTCATCGGCGCGATCCGGGGGGCCAGTTCGTGTACTACCACGGGAATAACGTCGGAAAATACGCAATCGCTCGACTGTTTTCTAATTTCAACGACCAAATCGTCGAATTATACCCGAGACATGAAATATTTAAGTACGATTAGCCCACAATTCAAATGTCATCATGACTCGTCCATGTCGCGATCGTCAAAATGTGACGGGATTTAACACCATTTGTAGCCGGGCTCAGTGTCGTTTTTTAACAATTGTATTTTCACTACGTGTTACACTTATTTTTGTGTTCAAACAATACAAAAAAATCCTASTGGAAATTAAAAACATTTGTACGCTCGCACAGAGACGCTCAATGCCCGTTCCCGTTGTCAATCGCCATGGAAGAAACAATTACCATGGAACGAATTTATTGTTTTTAAGGTTATGACGATGATAATGGAGCGATATTTAAATTGTTCATTTGAAAACGAGTGTATTGTTAGCTTATTTTAACTCATTTGCTCGATAGACAACGATTTAAATTAAATATTAAAAACTTAACACATCCTACATTCTGTCGAATCTGATTACGCAAATGGCACCCAATAGATAACAACGATGTCTGATTTAAGATACTATTCGGAAGTATGATGGTTTTATATATTATATTATAATTATTATACAATTGGTAGAACATAATATATTATCTATATACAGTGAAACCTCTAAATACCGGACACTCTCGATCGCCGTAATTTTGTCCGTTATTCAGAGGTGTCTGCTATTCAGAGGGGAGGGGGAAAATTCTCGAAAATAACTTGGAGAAATTAATAATTATACATAATTACAACATATTTTATTATTTATATAATATTTATAATCAATGATATTTCTATATTTATACTATTTTAATGTAAATATTAATTGTACATATAATTATTTGAAATTATGTGAAAAATTTAGTTACTTTAACTTGTTTAGACCTTGGTGCATAGTAATTTTGTGTATCAAGACATTTTCTAATTCAATTGCGTTTGAGACAATATACGTATACGAATACGTTCGTATGTAATGGAATCACAAACACAACTACGTACGAGT